GAGTCAGACCCTTCCTTAAGTCTTATTATGACTGACAATCGGGTATTAGGAAGTAGAGTCACCTAACTACATTTAATTAATTGGAACATGGTAGATGGGTTTCTTTGTTTTTTCTATTTTCCCTTGTCGCAGGTATTCCTGAGAACTACACCATGTGCTCACAGAGAAAGTACTTAGTTACAACAAAAGGCACATTCTTAGTAGCCAGTAAGTGAAAGTGGAAAAGCTGCAGACTTTTGCCTCCAAATATAAACAGGAAACCCCACCCTGGCAGACGTTCCTATTTGTTTAGCTCTCTAGGACAACAGGTGGCAGAAGGTGGCCCATGAGTCAAATCCAGCCAGCCAGTGTTTCTGCAGGTGAAGTTCATCAGAACGCAGCCACACTCGGCCACTGGGATTTTGCTAGTGGTTGCTTCCATTCCACAGTGAGTACGCGTAGGTAATATGGACCATCAGCTGCCAACTCTGATCTGAACTGTCCCCAGCACTGGAAACAGAAACTAGTAGATGCTAAGTCTTTCGCTTAAATAACTAACAAAGATCTAACTATAATTTACATAAGAAAAATGTGAAATTTTAAAATGCCACAGATTTAAGATGCATGTGTAGAAACGGGAAATGTCTTTCACAGAAAAGATCCCCCCCAAAAATAGGACTTATGAAGAATATGTTTTAGCCATAGTTGTTTCCAGGGGGGAGTTAGACTGTGGAGTCCAAGTGAGAATAATAAAATCTCTCCAGTGCTACCTCCCCATACATTCTGTTCAAACGCTCTCATCATTTCCCACCAAGTCATGCACTCTGTGTGCAGCATATTCCTTTCATACATTCTCTTCCCCGAGTAATTCTATTTCCAGATCAGTGTCGCCAGGATAGGTCCTGTATCTCCTTCAAAGAACAGGCCAAGTTCAATTGCTTCCCTGAGGGCCTGATAAGCAGCCAACATTCAATAGTCTTGCTTCCTCTAACTCCCTGTGGCAGTGGCATGTATCTTTTTATATACTTACTTCTTAAATCCCTTAAAACCAAAAACAGTACCTCATAGGTCCACCCCCTATTTCAGTAAACAATTCTGCATCTTGACTTTTACAGATTTAACATTATATCATTATACTATGCATTTCTATATAATTAGAAGTCTCAGGAAATTCACAAAACACCATAGAGACCAGGCTATGTCACTGCTGTTTTACTTTTCATCTAGCAATGCCATGGCTGATAAGGCTAACCACGAGTTCATGTGTTTCTTTACTGAGCTTCACTAAGCAACACCTAAGTGTCCTATGGCCCAACATCTGTAGCTTGGTTCTAGAAATATAAAAATAAAATATAGTTCTGCTAAAGGAAGTCACAATTGTTATTAACTTTCTGAAGGTAGTAACATTTGGGATTTAAATAAGGAGGGTAGTTTGCCATTTAATCAGAGTAAAATGATAGGACAGATGTGAAGGGAAAGATGATTTTAAGTAATGAAACTGAATAGGGAGTTCAGGATGGGCATCAGGTAACGATTTCTGAATAACATACAAGATGACCATTGAAGAAAAACAGCACCCACAGGAAGGTAACACTACCTCGTTTGCTTTTTGTCTCCAAGTCTAGGAATCAGAAGTGTCAACCAAGGAAGGACTGAGAGATGAGCTAATTATCTTTAATGCTCCAACCAAGGAACAATACTCAAACATACTCCAGCAAAGATTCTTTCCAAACCAGGCCTGGCAAGAACCTGATTTAGAAAACTTGATTATATATCAGGCCATAATAACATCTAAATGACTTTAAAATTTTCTCTTAACATTGGCTTCACAAAGTAAACTATTATTTTCCTTAATTGCATGTGACATTCATTGGAGGGGATCTGGAGGGTTCCTTCTCTCTACAATCTATAATTCTCATTCTGAATTGTACCTTAGACTCTTGACTTTGCAAATCAAAAGGAGAAAGCAGTATCAACAATGTATTTGTCACTTTTATAAAGGTAAGTATTCAGGAAGGGTTATCCAATTAGCTATGTCTCCAAAATTGAGAAGTCCCAAGGATGATTGGAATTTTGTACCACAGAAGCTATTCTTGGAAATTTCAACTCAGACACCATGAATATGTATTCTTCTACTTCCCCTAGATATAGATACAATTTCTTCACAGGTTCCACTCGTTTCTTTCTCTCTTCTGTACTGCACTGCTTAATTTGCCCTTGCAGCCACTGTGGAGTGGACGCTGCTCCCTCAGCAAGCTCTCATCACACTGAAAACGATCTTTCGCAGCAAGCCAGCCTCAGCTGCCTAATTCAGACTAATCTTCCTCTATCGGCTCACAGGCCACCTGCTATGGGACCAGGCCTGGATTAATCACAAGTTGGAACTGCGTGGTTTCCACGCTGCAGAACCCTGGAGGAAGACTGTGTCCTGCTTCTCTTTCTGTTTCGCACCTAACTGGAATTCTCACCCAGGAAATGCCAGGAAAGGTTCCAACCTAACCAGAACCCATTCTGAAGCATTTCTGGGTGTCTCTAGGAGTCTGAGCAGACACTTGCTTTGGACTCTCAGTGCACACCTGACTCCAACAGCCCACGGCAACCCAGCCCGCAGCAAAGCTTAAAGATGCATCGTGGGGGCTGGATCAAAACAAAGCATTTCTGTAAATTCCACAAGAAAACTGGTGACCCTTAAAAGGGGCTTATAAAGAAGCTGCTTTTGGGCGGGGGATTTAGCTCAGTGGTTTCACCGCCTGCTGCACAAGCACAAGGACCCGAGTTCAATCCCTGGTACCAAGAAAAAAAAAAAGAAGAAGCTGTTTTTAAGTCAGTGTCTTTGTGCTTTACATAGGAAAGCTACGTAAGAGTTTCTTCATCAAGTGCCAAATTAATAGGAATTTCGAAGACTCAAAAACTAAAAAATAAAAAGACTCAACTACAAAACAACTTATAGTTCTGCAAAAGAGTATTTGTCTACTTGGCTTAGTTCAGTGTGTCAAAACTCAATGTCATGATAACCAGCAAGTGTGGTGGGTTCTATGAAAAGTCTTCCCTTGTGTTAATCTCACTAGCAGGTTTATTTCTCTATCTCAGTCTCCTTAGGTTTTTCAAGTGTTTATTTTATCCTAATATCTTTTCACGTGGAGGTAGGAAATGTATGATACTAATAGAAAATAATGTGCTTTTAAGTGAAATCCTGGCTCAGAGCTAGTATATGCACACTTAAGTCTATTTTGTGATGAGTTATGGTTCACAGGCAATTTAAAGCACATTAATATCGGGATGCTATAACCCATGCATTTTATCTTATTTTTTTCTTCCTCTGTTAGGAAAGAAGTGAAGAAAAGTTTAAGTCTTGAGATAACTTTACATTTTTAAAGGAAATGGCAAGAATCATTTTGAAAAATAATGTTTAACTGAAAGTTCTTTGTAGAAATTTTAAAGCTTCTCCAGAATTTAAAAATAAAGGAAGAAGAACGGGAAACAAATTAAAGCAGCACACCTCTGTGAATGTCACCACCCACAGGTCCCAGGACAGGGGCTGGGAGTATGCTCGGTGGTTGAGCAATTCCTAGCATGCACAAGGCTCTGGGTTCAACTCTCAGTACCAGAGTAGGGAAAACTTCAAGGTTAATTTCATGTCTTGGTATAAAGTGCTAACATTCAAGATCCGTCAGACTGCACCAGAGTTCTGAGTATATCAAAATTTCGACTCGGGGAAGTTCCAGAAGCTATGCACTTTACCAAAAGGGAGATACCCAGCTCGACTGGGTTATCAATACATGGCAGATACTTACAGGACAACAAACACAATACATACTTCATCCTATTTACACTCCACCTGGCTGTTACAACATACTGGAGGCGTGTAACTCCCTGGCAGCAGTTTTATCTGCTCTAAGTTTTCGGTCACTACTCTTGCTTCCCGGTCACTGTGATGGTTTAAGATCTCGGTCACTGTTCTACGCCTTAGGTCAGGTCTCCATTTTCAGTCACCGGTCTAAGAGTCGTCCTAGTCTAGGGTCTCCCACACCAGTCTAAAGCTCTTTTCCAACTTCCTCCACTCTCTTCCTACGAAAACAAAGTTTAAATTAAAAAAAAAAAATGTGGTAACAATGAGACAAGTAAGTTCAAAAGAAAGATGCCAGAGAGTTCATAACTATGTCTCACAAGGTAACCACTAGATGGGCAAATGAGAGAGCATGCGCTAAAACTTCAGTGACAAACTGAAGGCCCTGGGTTTGCGCCCCGGGAAGGATGTGACACCAGGCTCCACTTGCTCCTGACAGGGCATCCTAGGCATCAGTGCCAAAATCAACTCACACTATTTGATTATATTAAAAACAAAGAAGTTACAATAGTTCTTTTACTGAACAAAAGGAGCAGAACCAAGGGAACTCATGCAGCATTTGCAGTTTTTTCAAGGATGTGTGTTTCCTACAGTAGCAAAGTCTCATCTACTAAGAAACAGCCCAACACTGTCACAGTCTGAGTGTCTGGAGATTAAAGCATAAGCCACGTAGGAGGAGATCAACCTTTAGCTCACTGAATTTTCTAAACTTCAAATTCAAAGATTTTTAGAAATTATCACAGTTGTATAAAATTGGAGAACTCAATAATCACAAAGGCAAATTTCAATCGTCATCTACATGACTCGGGTCGCTTTTATTGCCCGAGTTTTTCTTGACAATCACACTAAGGTCATACTAACTTTCCAATTCCAAGGAGAGTCCTGACTCTGAGTCATCGATTTACAGCCAGATCAAATGTTCACTCAGATGTGAGGAACAATAAACTCATCGGGACAACTTCAATACATGATTTCTCCCTGCACCTGAACAAGCTAAGTGCATTCTGTGATTAGGACGTATATGTAGGAATGAAGAAGCAGTTGCCCCCAAGTGAAAATGTTTTCCATTAAGCATAGGCTAAGTCAACACCACTCTACATCTGAGCATAAATGAAGATAAAACACTCCACATTACGATTCAATTAAAAACCTCCAAGATTCGAAGATACGTTACCTGCCGCCTCGAGCACTGAAAGGCACTACATGGATTCCCAGAGGCCCTCCATCGTTGGAGACTTGTACGAGCTTTACCATATCACTGTGAGACAATGATGAATGAGGGAGCATGAACATGTACTGTAAACAAACCAAAACCGAAACAAAACAAAGGTGCCACGAGACAGATACACAACAAAACAACAGAACAGAACAGAACAAAAATCCCACCACGCACACACGCATAAGCATACATATTCGAGAATAAGCATGGTGGTGAAGGCAACGCCACACACTACGTACCTGAACACTAGTCTGATGGCATGGAGGGAGAGCAATCATCAGAATTAGCTGCATTAAAAATGACACAGCCCAGTTCTCTTGGACCATACTCTCATGTGTAACATGAGTTCATGCTTTGCAGGTCAAATCTCTAGGCTTCCACTTCAAATGGGCCACCCTGGTATGTAATTCCAGGACTCCAAAGACGAGCTGAGTGACAGCCTCATGGCTGCACCGCACTGGATACTCTAGAAAGGGCCCTAATATTTGTCACATCATTGACCCTTCCAATAAAGCAATGACATAACAGTTTACACCCCAAGGGTGATTCCGGTTGTCCTTATGGCCCACTCTTCCATGATGATGGAAAGTCACCACTTTCTTAACTGCCTTAACAAGAGCACTGGAACTGTGGGCTATAAAAGATACTCATACTCTGTGAACATCTCCGTCATCACTTGCTTGTGAACTAAGAATGGTGTAACCAAGATAAATTTATTTTCTTCAATATTCTTTCTAAAAAAACTACAGCATGTCAAGTATTTTTTTAAAAAGAAATACTCTAAGTGCTGGTTGGGGCATGTCAGAACATGATCTGATTCTGGAGCCTGATGAATCTCACTAAAAATGCACTCAGAGCTCTCTCTTGGAAGATCAAGAGAAGACAAGATGGAGTAGGGAAATGTTGATATACTTCATTCAACACCCCAAACTTTTAACAGTATCAAAGAAAGAATCTGGAAAGTCTGCTCTCCCTGCTCTAACCTATCAAAGGAAGAGGTGCTGAGAGCATCTTCCATTTCAAACATGTCAATATTTAAGATAAGTGGAAAGCTTTGATAATAAAATAAAATAAATTTGATAATAAAAATATTTTATTTATCCTTATATTCAAAATCATGTCCTTATATTTATCCTTATATTCAAAACCAGGTCCTTCATGTATGACCTCTAATTTTTCATTAAGTATCCTTTTTTTTTTGGTACCAGGGATCGAACTCAGGTCCTTGCGCTTGCAGGACAGGTGGCAGAACCACTGAGCTAAATCCCTGGCCCTCATTAAGTATCTTGAAAGATTGTTTCTTCAACCAGAAAGCATTTATGCTATAATGCTCAATGTTTACATGATCCAGCTAGTCTTTCAAGTAAGCATATCATGATTTTCTTTAATTTGGCAAAGTTGAAGAACATACAAATGACTAAAATAATCAACAGACAAAGCAATCTAACAACACTTACTGTGTTTACAGTGCTATTAACATGACAGACATTTTCAATCAAATACTATTTGATATTCTAACTTAATAGTATTTGCCAAAGCATGAAACTCAGGACAGGTACATGTGAACATCCATGCAGTGCTGCTTAGATTACAGAGTTCACTGAGCAGATGAGAGAAGCACTTGAGAAGATCAAATCAATGCAAGGCGTGTTTTTTAACTAAGCACAAACATTCCTCATGCCATATGCTTTCAGAATACTTGTTGTAATTAACAATGCTACATGAATATTACAAATCTAGTTACAACCATCCGAAACTTACTCCAGAGAAAAGTTGGTTACACTCTCCAAGCCGGTGTCTGCATGGCCCACGGGCTCCACTCGACTGCTGTCTTCCGTCCCATCCTCCTCCTAGAGGCCAGAGACACAAGGAGAAGAGCAGGCCGTTAGGTCTGTTTCTTCGGTGAGAAAGGAAGTTCACCAGAGGCTGACAGGCATTATGACCATGTGAACTAGATCTTTCCCCGAGGAGGGGGACCTTCAGTGCTAGGATGGGTACGCAAAAGTGAAAAGCTGAATCGAACATATCCCTGGCGCCGAACAAGATACTACCAGAGAAGGAAAGAATATTGAACTTGAATTTATGCCAGTTTTCTTCACTCATTATTTTAATTTCTTTGGATGTGTGTTTTAAGAAGTGAGTGTATATTACTGCACTGCCAAGATATATTAATAAACAAATGTGACACTGGGGACATATGTCTAAAAATGTTTACAAATCAAGCCGGGGATTTAGCTCAGTGGTTTCGCTGCCTGCCTTTTCACGAAAGCGCAAGGTCCCAAGTTCGATCCCCGGTACCAAAAAAAAAAAATGTTTACAAATGAAAACAGCCAAGGCTGTTATAACCATGGCACTACCAAAACTGACAAAGTCGTCATGTGTCAGTTCCTCAGTTCCTAGCACGGGTGATATTATCTCAAACTAAAGTCTTTCATCCTGGGAAATTCCTAACCGATTGACTAATGGGAGTTATCTATAAGGGCATTAAAGGTCTTTGCCAGAAAGTATCACTTCTATCTATCTTTACCAAGGATCAAGCATAAAGAAACACGCAACAGCAATGACAAAGGTACTATGTATCCAATGTGTTGCAGACACTGCGTAGGCATGTATGCGCTACAAAAGGCGTATGTGGAGTAAATGCGGTAGTTTAAATAAAGGAAATTCCACTCAAGAATATTCTTTAATTTATCATCTTGCCCACTGTCTCTGCCTTAAGCAGCTTACTAACACTTACTTAAGTGTTACTCAGATGGCTTTCCAAGAGCATGTGAATAAAGATAAACACGCCTAACTGATGTCCATGTTCTGCTAACCAAATTAGTGTATTTAGAAAAGACTCAGATTCTCCGAATACAATGGCAGTGAGGCCCACGTGCACGTTTACCTGAGATCCCTGGTGTGTGGCACCTATTGAGCACTCTGTAAATATTTTGCTAATTAAAGCAAAATCATCCCTAGGAATCTCTGGGGATGTCACAAAGCAAAGAAATAAAATTTATTCAATCTGTCTCTTGGAAGTCTCTATGTATAATTTATATATACACACAATTTGCTAGGTTTCTTTTTCTTTAACTTTAGAAATTTGACATCAGTGATGCTATTGTGAACTTATTAAACTCCCTGTGTCGGGAAAGAAAATCAATCATTGGAAAAAATTTTTATATTTTTACTCCTGTATCTGACAGACTCACAGAGTCATCAATGGAGACATCAATCAACAAAATGATAAGCAAGAGCCATACGTTCAAGACACAGCAACATATTAAATCACTGAAGGGCTGAAGGGGAGGCAGAGAATCTAGAGCGCCCTCCTGGCATTTCCACTGAGCACCCAGCAAACCACGACTGCACAGTGCCTCCCCGGGAGCTGCAGCCGTGTTCCACTCATCCTGCACAGGGGTGCACTGCATGGAGCCAGGCTCCTCGAAGACGGATGAGCCTCTGACACGTCCTCTCAGCCATCTATCTCTCTTAGGCACAGCACATAATACATCTCAAAGGTTAACAGCATCTTGAACCTGCCCGAGAACAGCACTTTGAATGTAAACACCTACTCCCAAAGGATGCTTTTCCACTGGGACCAGGGGAGCAAACGCCAGTGTTTACAAACCAGAAGTAAGACAAAAATAATCCTACATGAGAGGTACTTTGTTTCAGGATTAATAATCTAAGCTCTACTGAAGTGGCATCTCAATGTGTGTCCAGTGGAAAGCCCTATGCTATACCATGAAATAGCCACACAAATGAAATGCCCCTCCACCAGTGATAAACCCCTAATGGGGAATCCACACATTCACTGCTCCCACTGTAGCCCTCAGCAGCCCAGAGCACCCCGAATGTTACTTCAGGGAGCTCCATAGGGGCACAGTTTAGAGCGCAGGGCTCTCTGCCCCAGGCTGAGCTGCAGTTGCTGTGGTAACGACAACTTAGAATTTCTCAACTTCTAGATGCGTAAGTATCAGCTCCAATAGGATTTTGTTTTGTTGTCTGGTGCTTTTTAAAAAGCTGTGATGAAACACAGTTACCTTTCGTAAGAGCAGTACACTGGATTCCATGTTACCATCATAAATCATGCTCAGTTACTACATATATCAATATTTAAGGGCTATTATACTGCTCTAGACAGTGTTAAAGAAATTCCAAATGACACAATATATTTTTTTCTTTTCCCTCTCTCCATTTTATTGTATAGAAGTTAAGAATATAGGTTCAAGAGTTAAAATGTAAAACATTAAAACGGGGAAATAAAAGTTAAAAATACTAGAATGTGATAGCAATTTACTATGTCTATTTTACAGCCCTCAGTGTGTTTATTCCCCTTTTCTGTCATACTCTTCTGTAAAATGGGGATAGTAAAAATAAATTCTTCTTAGGACTAAAAAGAAGACTATATAAGATAATCCATGTCACAAGTATGATATGATGCCCAATACACAGTAATTGATAAACAAACACCAATTTATAAATGCTATCAGAAGCCAAAACAACAACTAGTAAGTTCCTGACACATAAAACACACCTTGATAAATATTTTAGGGCAATTATACATGAACAGAAGACATTTTAGTACACATTTATCCATGCATGCTCTGTGTGCCTTGCAAAACAAGTGAATATAACATATTGTATACTCAACTAAATTTTAAAATTATCTATAATTGAGAAACTTGTATAATACCTACTATTTATTGCGCTTTGCAGTATACAAAGTATTTTCATTATAAAATGTCTTTGGGAAGAAAACAAGTCAAGGAAAAGATAAACTACGAACCGCTACAATCAAGTGACTGACAGGAGAAACATGACAGGTTGGTTCGCAGTGAAGGAAATTTTCAAAGAGAAAGTAAACGTCAAAAACTGTAAAGCACCTTACAAATACAATCACTATGCATCATTTAAAAAGTATGTTACTAATCAAAAGAACTGTGAAGTGTCCTGACGTCAGCCTCTCTGAAGATACAAGACTCCCGCAACAGACAGGAGACAGACTACTAAGCAGAGCTCCATTAGTCAGGGTGCCTTCCCTATATGCAGGGTTTCTCCGGAAAATTCTCACCAGCGACGTGCAAGGGCCAGAGATCAGTGGCACACACAACAGAACCCTGGGCCTAGGGAACGCAAATCTTTTAAACAAGTGGCAAACCCACCTGCTTATCGCCACAGAGGCAGGCAGACACTGTGTCTATGCTGCAAAACACCCTGGAAACCAGGGTTCTCTGTTCTGGCACCACAGAAGAATGTAAGTGAGCCACGGAGAATCATCACCCAACAACGGATTTAACCGAAGCCTTAACAAATAACATCTGGATGATTACTAGTGTATCATTAACAAATGCTCTACGACAACAATGCCTGAAATGGTAACACCAAATTCTATTAGACAAAAGAGTCATACCTTCTACATAGAGAAAAAATGGTTTTGGCGGGGTATAGAACTACACTGCTCAACAAAACAAAAAAATCAAATGTGAATGGTCTTTTTTTTTTTGAGACCGGGTCTCACTATATTATTTAGGCTGGTCTTGAACTCACTATGTAGCCCAGCCTGGCCTCAAACTCACATCGATCCTCCTGCCTCAGCCTCCTAAATGCTTGGATTACAGGCATGTGCCACCAGGCCCACCAAAGGACAGTTTATTATAAAGCTGTTTTGGGGTGAGCTCCAAGGAAAGTCAAGGAATGTGGGTAGACCAACATCCCAAGGAAGCAGAAACCAGTTTAGACTGGAGTTGAAGGATGGTGGAATCAGGGAAGTCATCTCCACAAGAAAAAAAACAAATTAATAAATGGTCTGATAACTTTAAATATTTGGTAAATAACAGACATTTAAAAGCTCTGACAAAGAACTGTAGGGAAAAAATTAAAGATACATACCAAGAAAACAAAACAAATTTTTAAAAAGCCAAAGAAATTTTAACTTCAAGGAAAAAAAAGTGTAGGAGATGAAGTTCAGAGTACCTGCTTCGTTATTCAGTGTGCGATTCTTACACTGCCTCTCAATTAGAAGTTTTACCTTTTTTTTAAAATTGGTGCCAGAGATCAAATCCAGTGCCTCCGGAGTGCTAAGCACACACCACACCCCTGGGTTCCCCCGAGTCCCAGCCTGAACTTCAGCTTTTGCTGCAGCAACATTAAGAACAATCAGGCACTCTGTATTTTATTTCTACTTTTTCTGGTTATATAAATAGCTGATCACATTTGAAGAAGGACATTCTGAATCGCCCCTCAGGAATGTTGCCAGGTTCCAGATCTGTTGTTCTTGTTATATTTAAAGGGTCTGTTTTTCTGATAAGAGAGAGATAAGGAACATTTGATAAACCCAGGAGAAGTTTTAGATGGGTTAGGAATGCCTGGTAGGCAAGTGGAGATAGAAATGTTATATAAAACCATTCTGAGGTTCTAGTGGAGATTAAAAAGCTTATTCTCTTCCACGTACTAATAATAAAAAGAGTGCCAACAGGTCACACTGCTTTTTATTTTATTTTTTATGCATGCATGTTTTATTAGGAAGAACTGAACCCAGGCCTACTAGGAAGCACTGTGGCTCTGAGCTACACCCCCAGACCTAGGTAACACATTTTTTTTAAATCACAGGTAATAATATAAACTAAAATGAAATTTGGTCAAACTACTGTATGTCACTTGAATTTGGAATCTTTTCTGGCTCTATCTTCCCCCATTTGAATGCTAGATATCTTCACCAGCTTCACACACATTTTAAAAAAACAAAAACAAAAACAAGTGGATACAGCCAAAAAGTTGGGAAGGAAGGTCGTAATTAGAACAGTTAAGATTTGTAGCCTGCCTCTGCCATTTACCATAGAAAACAAGGCCACAAATGTTTATG